AGGAGGTGGTGGTGGCTACAAGCATGGACAGCTTCAAGAGGGAATTAGACAAACATATGGAGCAGAAGTCCATCAGTGGCGATTAGCCACAAGGTAGGAACTCTCAGTCTGGGACAGGTGATGCTCTGTATTCTTGGTGCTGGGGTGGGCAACAGTGGGAGGGCTTCTAGTGTCCTGGTCCCACTGCTGGACCTCTTGATGGCACCTGGTATTTTTGGCCACTGTGTGACAGAGTGTTGGACTGGATGGGCCAATGGCCTGATCCAACATTGGCTTCTCTTATATTCTTATGTTCTTATGAGAGCGGTGGTGGCCAGGAGCTTGAGCTACTATTCTGGCAGTTCTTACATTGAATCTTCCCTCTGCCACAAACTCATTTAGAGGGCCTCATGCAAGGCTCCTTATCCCAGCTTCAGCCCCCTCCAGTCTGCAGTATGAGAATAATAATATTGATGTACCTTAGAGACTTATTATAGGAGTTACAGCAAGATAATGCATGCAAAGTGCTTTGAAGTGCTACGTAAGTGTGCTAAATATTATTAGGCATCCCTGGTCTTTGGGGAGAAAGAATTGAAAGCTTCCATAAACGTAGGGAGTTTATTAGCATGCACCTAAATTCTTTAGGTCCACAAACTGGGGGGGGGGAGAGCATTCGCTTATTACTTTCTTGGTCAGCATTATCAAAGAACAGTCCCACACAATTTGTTTGCATTGAAAGACATATGATATTTAAACTGGCAGACCAAGCCAAAAGGTGTTTACTTGGAGATGAATCCCACAATGGGGCTTAATTGCTAGTGAGCATGTTTAGGACCATAGCCATAAATCTAATTTTCATCTAAAATGTATTGCATTTGTGGGCGCGAAGCCTCTGATTGGCTGAGTTGGCACAGAACATTCATGAACATTCCAAAGATTCAAATGTCGGGAATGTTTGCAGCCCGGCTTCTGCATTGTCAGAAGAGTTTTGTGCAAATGTCTGCAAGCGCATTTCCCTGTGGTCTACCAGCAAGCACATTAGAGTCTTCCCCTGGTGAAGAGTTGTTGCTGTTCCAAAAGTGTCAGGACAATTTGTCATCTTGTCATGTGAAATAACCATTCCTGGACTTTTGTAGGCCTCCCTTGCAATGCTTTGCTTTTCCAATGGTACATCTCCCCTGGTGACTGGGGTTTTAAGCTGAAGCTCATAGGGGAGCAGAAGGTGGGTGGTAGAAGGGAGAAGGGAAAAAAGGGCAACATACTTCCCCACACACACACACCCTTTAACACAACTTCTTCCACTAGCCTGCAATTTTTCTCGATCCTCAATAGTTCTACTGTAGTTCTATCACAATACACAGAAAGAAACTATTAGCAGAGTGCCCTTTGAGTAATCAAACAATCTGGAGATGTTAGCAAAGAGTGGAGAGATGATGCATTATGGGGTAGCGATCTTGCCAAAGCTCATAATTGCCCAGTTGCATTTGCCTGCCTTATAATTCTTGGCTACATCATGAAGAGTGTTTCTCTAAGAATTGAATGTTTCTCCAAGAAAGCCTTCTCTTGTTTCCGTGAAAAGTGCCGTCAAGACAAGTCTCAGCTGACTTATGGCAACCTCATAGGGTTTTCAAGGCAAGTGATTAAATATAGGTAGTTTGCCATTGCCTTCCTCCACAGAGGCTTTCTTGCTGGTCTCCCATCCAAGTATAACCCAGCTTAGCTTCCCAAATTTGACAAGATTGTGCTATACTATACTATTCCACATGCCAGCCTTCTCTTACTCAGCAAGTAAACTGAGATTCCATATATGCAGCTACAAAGCATATAGGCTCACCCAGGTTGCTCTGTATCCAGATACTGCCAAGATGTGCTCAATGAGAGAAAACTTCTTGTTGAACAAATTCTGCAAAGAGCAGAAAACTGGAAGAGTATCCAGGTGGGTGCTTTCAAGTACCACAGTTGGAGTTCCTTAAAGTCCTCTCAGTGCTGACTTGAGTTTGGTTTCAGGAGGATGCTTTTGGGTGCGGCATAAAGCATAAGATGACATCGACTCGTCAATGCAAGAGGTTCTACTTCACAACCACACAGACAGACTGAGGGAAATCCAAAACAGAGTTTTTGTTGTTCAGTCGCACAGTCGAGTCCGACTCTTCGTGACCCCATGGACCAGATCACGCCAGGCCTTCCTGTCTTCCGCCGTCCTCTGAAGTTGGCTCAATTTCATGTTTGTTGCATCGATGACACTGTCTAACCATCTCATCCTTTGCCGTCCCCGTCTTCTTTGACCTTCAATCTTTCCCAGCATCAGGGTCTTCTCCAGTGAGTGCTCCCTTCTCATTTGGTGGCCAAAGTATTTGAGCTTCAGTTTCATTATCTGGCCTTCCAGGGAACAGTCAGGGTTGATTTCTTTTAAGATTGACTGATTTGATCTTCTTGCAGTCCAAGGGACTCTCAAGAGTGTTCTCCAGCACCATAGTTCAAAAGAATTATTCTTCGGTGCTCAGCCTTCCTTATAGTCCAACTCTCGCAGCCATACATGACTACGGGGAATACCATTGCTTTGACCATGCGGACTTTTGTTGGCAGGGTGATGTCTCTACTTTTTATCATGCTGTTTAGGTTCGCCATCGCTTTCCTCCCAAGGAGCAGGCATCTTTTAATTTCATGGCTGCTGTCACAGTCTGCGGTGATCTGGGATCCCAGGAACGTGAAGTCTGTCACTACTTCCACGACTTCCCCTTCTATTTGCCAAGGAGTGATGGGGCCGGATGCCATGATCTTA